CGACGCGCGACGCGCGACGACGCGCGCACACGAGCCTGGGGCAGCGCGCGGGCGTGGAAAATGACGTCGTCGCGCTCGAGCGCGCGCGCGCGCTCGATCGTCGCGCGTGCGTCAGTCGGTGCGCGGTGCGCGCGCGAGAGCCAAAAATAAGCCGAGCGCGCGCCGATGGATCCGATCGTCCATCGCGCGTTCGTCGCGCCACCGCGCTCGAGGAGACGCGCGTGGAGACGACGCGGGGTGGACACGGAACGACGACGTCGACCGGGGCGACGACGGGGCGCGCGACGGCGATGCGCGAGCGACGGGGTCGACGGGACGCGCGCGACGGCGACGCGCGAAGACGAACGGACGCGCCGAGGGAGACGACCACGCGACAGGTGCAGACGACGACGGCGAGGAAAGAAGACGTCGATCGCGACGATGACGTCCCGTCGCTCCGCGCGTTGCGGTCGGCGCACGAGCTCGTCGTCGCCGAGCGCGATGAGGCGCGCGGGATTCGCGAGCGCGCGAGACATTGCGAGAGCGAGGCCAGACGACGACTCGAGCGCATGAAACACGAGCGCGATCGCGCGCGCGAGGATTTAAAGCGCGTCCTCATCGTCGTCGCACAAGTTCGCGACGGCGCCGCGGACGTGCGCGATCTCTTTGATTTCTGCGAGGCGTCCTCGGACGCCGGGCGCGACGTCGGTTGAAGACGTCGACGGCGCCGCGCGCTGTGGGCACTTTGCATCGCGCGCGCGTCGCGTCGTGCGCGAGCGCTCACGGCGCGCGCGATGATGGCTCTCGCGAGCGCGCGCGCGGTGCGCGTGCGGTCCACGCGCGCGTGTCGTCGCTCGACGAACGCGTCGCGCGGCGGCGCCGTCGCGCGATCCGCCGCGCCGCCGTCCACGGGCCTCGTCCTGGACGTCTTCGACCACGCGCTCGTGCGAGACGGGGCGCGGAAGATGCGTGAGATCAACCCCGAGGCGTTCGCGAACGAGCCGGATTGGGTCTTGGAGTGGTTTCTGCGCGATCGAAAGCTGGACGCGGATAAGGCGAGCGAAAAGTGCGCCAAGTACGTCGCGTGGCGATCGAACGACGGCTACGACCGCGTCGAACTCGAACGATCGAGCGAGGTGGACGAAGAGGCGGCGACTGGAAAGGCGGTGTTGCTCGATGAGACGGACGCGATGGATCGACCGGTGATTTACGTGACGCTCACCAAGCACGAGGTGGAGACGCGAGAGTTGGCGCGCACGTGCAAGCTGTGCGTTCGACTCGTCGATGAGGCGCTCGAGCGCGAGCGGGCGAAAGGAGCTGGATCGTCTGAGACGATGATGTGCGTCTTCGATCTCCGTGGGTTCACGATGAAGAACGCCGATATCGACTTTGTCAAGTTTTTCATCAAGTGCATCTTCGACTACTTCCCGAAGAGAATTTCTCAGGTTTTGCTCATCGAACCCCCGTGGGTGTTCACCCCGGTGTGGCAGATCATCAAGCCTCTGATGGGGAAGTACGCGGCGCTGGTGAAGCAGGTCAAGGCGAGCGAGGCCAAGGCGTACTTCAAGGAGGGATCGAGCGTCTTTTAGCGGGACGTCGCGAGGCGGCGGGTCGAGTCACCGAACGAGGCGTTATTTAAACCGCCGGCCGCGGGCACTTCTTCGCGACGAGGTCTTCTTCGCGTGTACAGTAGCGGCGCGCTCACGAAATCGAGAAAGGGAAGAGAGAGATGTTATATTATCATCGATTTCGCGAATCAAAGGCGACGCGTTTTACAGCAGCCGCAGCTTGTCGACAACCTTCGCCTCCTCCGCCAACTCCTTGAGCGCGCGCGAGCTCGCGACGAACGCCGCCTTGGCCGCGCTCTCGTCCCCGCCATCACACCGCCGCGCGAGCTCGGCGACGGATTTCTCGAACCGCGCGCGGCTCTCGCCCGCCCCGAGCGCCTCCGCCGCGCTCGTCGCCTGGGACGCCCAATCGCCCCCCGCCGCGAGCTCACTCGACGCACCGCCGAGATCCCCTCTCGCGATCGCCGCCCCCGACTTCGAGAGCTTGTACACCGCCACCTGCACCTTGCTCGCGTTTTCGTCCAGCTTCAACCCGGCGTCGTTTACGTATCGCTTCTCCTTTTGCACCTCGGATTGAATGCGTTTCGCCCGGTTCTCCCGAGCCTTGGCGAGAAACGCTTCGTCTTCCTCATCGTTCGGTTGCAACAGCGCGAGCGCCGGGGAGACGCCCGCGAGTTCGCTCGCGAGCGCGGACGCGGCGACCGCGACGACGCCGTCCACCACCTCTCGCCGCGTCGCGCACGCGCGCGTCGCTCGCCTCGCGCGCGCGCGCGCGGGCGACGTCCGGGCGCGCACCGTCGCGGACGTTCCATGACTCGTTCGCGCGCACATGGTCGTTCGCGCGCGTCGTGGGCGTCGATCGATGGCGCGATCGATGACGTGGCGGTCGACGGAAACCCACGCCCTGGAAGGGGTCTCGATCGCGCGGTGGGCGCGATTCGGACGATCACGACCCGATCGAAAGGCGGCTGTCCTCGTCAAAAATGCTAGAACCCTTTGAAGATGGGAAAGCGCCGACGCTTTCCATGACGACCCATCGACGTGTGGTTCAGACCCCGCGGTCGCGTAAGACGTAGTGTACGACGAGTAACACGACGTACGAGTACACACAGACGCGTTGGGGTCGTATCGTCGTATCACACACACACGTGGAGCGCCAACGACCCCGAGACATGGAGCACACGTGCGAGGCGAAGTGCAAGGCCAAGCCCATGTTCGTTCTCGTGACCGTGCGAGCACGGCTTGAATACGAGAACCTCCAAAAGAAATTGTCATAATCTTAATCTCATACAATGATGAGAATAATCCGATTATGGATTATAGAACAGATACTACACTTGATCTGCGAAAACGTGTGTGAGTACGGACGTTTTTCACATGGTCAAGGAACTTCGTACCATAGCTTAAAAGCCGTGAAAAGTTACTTCGTGCGACGCGGCGAGGGTGGTATTCATACGACGACGTACGTGTGAAGCGAACGATGGCGCTTACGGGGCAAAGGTACACGTGCGGCGCGCGCGTCGACGCGCGGACGCGTCCACGCGCGCGGTTTCGATAATACAAACGCGAGCGATGACTCATCGCACCTCGAGGAGCATGTTCCGATCGAAGCCCTCACCCTTGGTGGGCCAATCATCCGTCGTTCGCCACTCGCCGTCGACGAGAAACTTGACCTCGTACACGCCCGGGACGAGCGCCACGGTCGCCGTGAACGTGTCCGACATCCCATCGCCGTGGCCGTGCCACTCGGGACTGAGATGAATCCCTCGCGTCCAATCATCGAACGAACCCATCAATCGCACGTCGCTCGCGTTCCCTTGCCAAATCACCGGGACCTCGCGCAGGACCGCGCCGTCGGCGTCCGCCGCGTCCTCGCGAAGCGCCTTACCCATGCGATCTAATCTCGCGATCAACGCGTCCAACGATCGCGCATCGCTCGTCTCGCTCTGCGTTCGTTTCATATCGCTCGCCATCGCTCGCAGCGTCTCCGTCTCTCTCGCCGCGTTCGCGAGCGCCCGTCGCGCGCGCGACAAATCGTCGTCTCGCTCCAGAAGCGTCTTCTCCAAAAACTTTGCGAACGCGTTCGCCTTGCTCACCCGTTCGTTCAATCGCGTCCGCAGCGTGATCATCTGATCGATCATCGATCGCTGCGGCGGCGTCACCGCCGACGACGCCGATGAAGATGACGATCCCGATGACGATGCCGATGCCGATGCCGATGCCGTTGGCGACGACGACGACGACGACGACCTCCGTCCCGCGCCCGCGCGCCACCGCCGCCCCCCCCCCCCGGGCGATTGGATCCCACGTCCCATCGTTCGTCCCATCGTCGTCGGCATCGCCGCGCCCGCGCGTCGTCGTCCGTCGCGTCGTCGTCGTTCGATGGGACGTCGATCGATCGACGCGCGCGGTGATGGCGTCATCGAATGCGTCAATAACACACACCCGGGGCGCCGACGACGTCGACGACGACGACGCGCGCCGTGGACGTCGAGCGTGCGCGTCGATCGCGCGCGCGCTCGACGAACGCGCGCGATGGCGACCGCGATGCGGTGCGCGACGTCGACGTCCGTGCGCGCGAGACCGCTCGAGCGGGCGCCGCGAGCGACGCGCTCGGGAGCGACGACGATGCGCGCGGGACGGATGACGGATGGCGATGATGGGACGACCCCGAACGCGATCGATTGGCGGCTCGAGACCGTGTTGGGACGGAGCGCGATGACGGGGATGGCGATGCTGCCCACGTCGGAGATCCTGGGGGGGGGGGACGCGCTCGGACGCGTTTTCGGGGAGGATTGCATTCGCGTCGCGCTCGTCGTCGCGCTCATCGCCTGGGCGTCGACGCAACCGTTCGAGTTTAACCCGCAGAGCGAGTACGAGGCGAATCCGGAGTCGTTACGGGGGAAGACCGGGATCAGTGGGTTCTTGGCGTACGAAAAGTTGAATCTCAACGTGGACGTCGAGCGCGCGAACGGGCGCGCCGCCATGGTCGGTTTCGCCGTCGTCGTCGCGCTCGAGTCCCTCGTCCTCCATCACGGGTTGTTCGCGCGCTGACGCCTCGGCGCGCATCGCGCTTCGTCGGATTTTTTCATTCTCAACGTTCGCCGTGTTCGAATCGCTCCCACGACGTGTTTCACCGCGCGCTCCGTCGCGTCGCGTCGCGCGTCGCCGTGCTTCTAAACCCTACTCGGCGGCGCCATTCGACGCCGTTCGATCGTTCGCGCCCCCGCCTCGCGCGTGATGTCCGCGAGCGATCGCGCGACGGTGGACGCGGAGACGCTTCGTCACGAGGAGATCGTCGCTCGCGCGCCGTGTGACGTCGAGGCGTGGACGCGATACGTCGACGCGTTGCCGAGAGCGAGTGCGAGTGATGACGACGCGCACGATTCGCTCTGCGCGCGTTTCCTGACGTACGAGCGAGGGATACGACACAACCCTGGGAGTTATAAACTGTGGTACTTTTATCTCGTCGAACGCGTCGAACGTGGACGGGGATGGCGATGCGACGACGCGCGACACGCGGGGACGGAGGCGGCGTTCGAGCGCGCGTTGACGACGATGCACAAAATGCCAAAGGTGTGGGAACTGTACATCACGTACCTGATGACGCTGAGATACGTGACGAAGACGCGGCGCGCGTGTGATCGAGCGTTACAAGCGTTGCCGGTGACGCAACACGAGCGCGTGTGGACGCTGTATCTGCGATTCATACGGAGCGACGCGCGCGTGCCGGGAGACACCGCTCGACGGGTGTATCGAAGGTACTTGAAGTTTGAACCGGGTCACGCCGAGGAGTACGTGGAGTTCTTGCGAAAGCGCGGGTATCACGGCGAGGTGGCGACCAAGCTCGCGGAGCTCGTGAACGATGACTCGTTCCAATCGCTCGCGGGGAAGACCAAGCACGCGATGTGGCTCGAGCTGTGCGACGTCGTGACGAAGAATCCCGCAGCTGGGGCTGGGGTTTTGGACGTGGACGCCATCTTGCGCGGCGGCATCGCCGCCTTCACGGACGAGGTCGGGCGCCTGTGGACCGCGCTCGCGGATTATTACATCAGAAGAGGTTTGTTTGAAAAGGCTCGAGACGTGTACGAGGAGGCGATGGAGCGCGTGCGCACGGTGCGAGACTTCTCGCTCGTGTTCGACGCGTACGCCCAGTTCGAGGAGAGCGTGATCTCGGCCAAGATGGAGAACGGCGAGGGCATGGATGAGGACGACGAAGGTGAAGACGAGGGGTCGGACGCGGCGGAAAACTTTGCGATTCGCGACTTGCTGGCGACGTCCGCCTCGGTCGCGCCGTCCTCGGATTTAGAGCTTCGTCTCGCCAGGCTCGAGCATCTCATGGAACGCAGACCGATTCTTCTGTCGTCCGTCATGCTTCGACAGAATCCGCACAACGTCTTGGAATGGGAAAAGCGCGTGCAGCTGTACGAGGGCGACCCGATGAAGCAAATCGTGACGTTTACCGACGCCATCAAAACGGTGGACCCGATGTGCGCGACTGGGCGCGTCTCCAACTTGTGGATCGAGTTCGCAAAGTTTTACGAGACGCACGGCGACGCGGAATCGGCGAAAACGATTTTCGAAAAGGCTTGCGAAACCGCCGACTTTAAAACCGTCGACGATCTCGCTCGGTGCTGGACCGAGTACGCCGAGTTTTGCCTGAGACAAGACGCGTACGACGACGCCCTGGCGGTGATGCGTCGAGCGACGACGGCGCCCGCGCACGCTCGACGAGCGCAGACGTCGGAGGAGTACGCCGCGCTCACTGTGCGGGAGAAGGCGTACAAGTCGCTCAAGTTGTGGACGCTGTACGTCGACCTCGAGGAGTCGTTGGGAACGCTCGAGTCGACGAAAAAGGTGTACGAATCGATGATTGCTCTCAAGGTGGCGACGCCGCAAATCATCTTGAACTACGCGCATTTGCTCCAGGAGAAGAACTTTTTCGAGGACGCGTTTCAAATTTACGAAAAGGGCGTCAGCGCGTTCAAGTTTCCCTATTCGAAAGAGATTTGGAGCGCCTATCTCACGCAATTCGTCGCCCGGTTCAAGGGAACCAAGCTCGAGCGCGCGCGGGATTTGTTCGAGCAGTGTCTCGAGCACGCTCCCCCCAAGCACGCGAAGGAGTTCTTCATGGCGTACGCCAAACTCGAGGAAGAGTTTGGTTTGGGCAAGCGCGCGATGGACGTGTACGATCGCGCGTGCAGGACGGTGCCCGTCGACGAGCGACTGTCCGTGTACGACGTGTACGTCAATCGCGCGATGGAATTCTTCGGCGTCGCGAAAGTTCGCGACGTCTTCACGCGCGCGGCTGAGGATGACGAGCTCCCCGCGAATGTCGCGAAGACGCTCGCGGTGCGCTTCGCCGAGTTTGAGCGCAAACTCGGCGAACTCGATCGCGCGCGAGCGCTGTACGCGCACGCGTCGCAGTTTAGCGATCCAACAAAGGATGCCGAGTTCTGGTCCACCTGGCACGAGTTTGAAGTCAGACACGGGAACGAAGAGACGTTTCGTGAGATGCTACGCGTGAAGCGCGCCGTCGCGGCGAGCTTCTCGGACACGCACTACAACGTCTCCGTCGTCGCGCCGGATGTGGACGCCGTCGCGGCGGATCAAGTCGTGCCGCCGGCGAACGCGATGGCGGCGCTCGATCGCGAGCACGAGGCGCGCGCGGTAGCCGCGTCTGGCGTCGCCGTTCACGGTTTCGTTCGCTCGCACGTCGAGGGCGCTTCCGAGCCGAACGCGAATGAAGCCGCGGCCGCCGGCGACGACGCCGAGATTGATTTGGACGACGTGCTCGGCGGCGCGAGCGTTCCGTCGGCGGTGTTCGAGGGGGCGGGCGCGAAACGCACCGCGGAGGACGCGAGTCTCGGCGCGATGGAGCGGTTCAAGCGCGCAAGGGAGGAACAATAGAACGATGTACGAGTAGGTGTAGATGACAATTACAACAAAGCTAGAGCGACTAAATCTACGGCGGTCTCGGGAACAGTTTTCATCCGACTCTGATTATCTGTGCTCGTCGTACAGAGAGTCTTCAAACGAGAGCCTTTCAGGGCCGAACAAAACACCGTCGAACAACGACTTTGGCTCTTTCCGCACGCGCAATTCGTGGACTTCACGAAGCGCGTCGCACAACGCGACGTACGTCGCGCTCGAGAGCGCTGCTTTTTCGGCGTCAATCACGTGCAAAATCTTCCTGGCCAAACACTGCGCCCGCGTCGGCTCCTCGTCCTCGTCCTCGTCCTCAAAGTCCTCGATCACGTGCATCTCGGCTCGCGCGTCGTCTCGATCGAACGCGTGCGTCTTGTACAACTTGAACCAAATCGCGTCGAGCGCGGCGAAGAGCGCCTTTTCATCCGCCCCGCCGCGTCTCGCGTAATAGTCCGCCTTGCTCATCGCCCGTCGCCGCTCGTACTTGTTCATCTTGATGAACTTCAACACCTCCACCGCCCCGCGTTGGTTCTCCCGCTCCGCCACCCCGAGCGCGATGTCGAACCCGTTCACCGGTCCGCGCTCGGTGAACGCCCAGGCGATGACGTCGACCCGACCTCGTTTCGCCGCCTCGATCGTCGCCGCGACTGCAAACGGCGCCCCGTGATGATTACACAAATGTTCGAGCTCGGCGAGATTTCCATCGCGCGCGGCGTCGCACGCGTCGCGTCGGGCGAACGCGTCCATCGTCGCGCGCTTTCCCACGATCCCGCAGCGCGCGCACGTGAACCCCGGATCACGGCGCGGGGGCGGACGTCGCGCTCGACGACGCGTCGTCGGACGTACGTCGGCACCCATGGTGCCCACCGCGGTGTGGGGCGTGCCCACATTTGCGTGTCAAATTACAAAGGTGTGGAAATCGTCCTGCGTGGGCGCCACGGAGGTGTACATTCGGACGGAATCCATTCTTTCGTCCTCTTCCGATTTGGGCGCGAGTCCTAACGGCGGCAACGTGTCGCGAGGCGACGATCGTATCCATCGAGCCGACTGCGTCGAAGGGTGGCGACGTACTCACCATCGTCGGGAGCGGCTTTCATCGCGCTCAAATCGATGTTGGCTGCATGTTCGGTAATGAAGTCGAGCACGTTTTTGTGCGCTCGATGAGAAGTAACGATAACGATACGCATGTATCGTGTGTTGTGCCGCCTTTACATTCGCTACCTGGTGGTACCGCGGGTAGTAACAAATTATTTGCGACGAAACATCTGCGTCGAGAATTACAACATGTAAAACTTTCTGCACACCGTGCATCGTCACTATCAGACTGAGGGGAATTTCCCGTTTTTTGCAAAAAGAAAACAACCACACTTCCGTCATTCGTACTTGCGTGCTACTGGTACGTCCTGAAAGGTGTTGACAACTGAGTGAAAAAACAAAAAACCACCTCTGGAAAAACAAAATTCTGCCATGATGTACCGCATAAACACAAAATTGCGCTTTCAGGTATTGGCAAACAGTCAGAATCGAGACAGAGAAAATGAGTCTTCGGGAATGGACAGATGGACACTCAATTTTTTTTCATCAAGCGATGTCGCGTCTCAGTGACCGACGACGAGACTGCTCGGATGTTCCTTGGCGACGCGCGGGTGCGCGCTGGCGACGAGATCGCACGACCCCGTCTTAAATACACGAGCCGGCTGACCTCCGTTCATCTGGATGTAGGATACGCTGCCGTACCCGGCGTCGTCCGAACGCCAGTTAAAGGTATAGTAGGGCTTGCCGTTGAGGGTGATGCCCACGCCTTTTTCGAGGTAAGTGAACTCGAAGGTCCACGTTCGAGACATGTCGGATGACGTGGGCGCGCCCATCTCGGCGGCGTCCCACTGTTGTGCTTCCCGGCGACCTCTCCAGTTGCACTGTCCATTGGGATCGCTCACCGCGGGCTTACACCCGGTAGCATCGTCCATGACGCATGTATTCTCCCTCGAGCGAGGGTTGAAAACCATCATGATGTCGTCGCTCGTTCCGCGCGTCGTATGGATGTTTATGGTACACCAACCCAATCCGGCGACGCCATACATCTTGAACGCGCTCCCGAGACCGATCGGGGGGTTGGCCAACATTTTCTGCGTATTCTTCGCGCGCTCTTTCGGGGACCAAGTGTGGGGATCGCCCGTGGGAATGCAATTACGCGCGCAAGACCCAAAGACGTAATCGATGTACCCAGGCTCGGGCGTCCTTCGCGAGTCCCAGCCGATGATGCGATTCGTGTACGGCCCGAACGTGTTTGCGCACTCGTCGTTCCCAGAAAGCGGACTGCCGTGTTTCTTCGTTCCGATTTCGTATCGAACGTGGCCTTTTGAGTCCTTGATGGCAAATCCCCACTCCCAATCGACGGCGGACGTGTCCACGGAGAACGTCCCGGTGTCGCCCGGATACAGATTCACCTGACTGAGACGGATCCCTTTTTCCCAGTCAAAAAAGCTGTCGCTCCCGAGATTGTGTCGAACGATCCTCGCCTCGACGACGTCGTCGTACATTCCACCCTCGGCGCCGAGACACCCGAGGTGGAGCGTATACGTGAGCGTCGGCCGGGCGTATCTGCCTGGACGTCGTCTCGGCAAAAAGGACGTGCGCTTGTAGTATCCTAGACCAGCGTCCCATCGCGCGCGTGCGCGCATCGCGTACACCGTCGCGTTCACATCGTTCGCGTTCACATCGTTCGCGTGCGTTCGTCCCGAGCCCAGCGTATTCGAAAAGGTCGTCGTCGTCGTCGTCGTGTTCGCGTTCGACGCCATGCCCAACACCCCGACCGCGACGACCGCGAGCGCGACCCCAGCCGCGACCGCTCGTCGTCTCCATCCCGACGCGCCGGGCGCGCGAGACGATTCCAATAGCGGCGTCGTCGCGTCCATCGCGCGCGCCAGAACCGCGTCGCACGCACGCGCGCGAAGAAGTGCGCGCGCAGAGATTGGTGTTGACGAACGTCGCGCCCATCGCGTTGCGGGCTAAGGGCGACTAACAGCAAGCCATTTTCATAACTTTAAGTCCGAGTTATGAGAAAAATGGGGGTAACAACAAGCCTTTTTCACTAAAGTTAGGGTTTAGGGTTTAGGGTTTAGGGTTTAGGGTTTAGGGTTTAGGGTTTAGGGTTTAGGGTTTAGGGTTTAGGGTTTAGGGTTTAGGGTTTAGGGTTTAGGGTTTAGGGTTTAGGGTTTAGGGTTTAGGGTTTAGGGTTTAGGGTTTAGGGTTTAGGG